CTTAGACATGTTCATCGTTCTTGTAACTTTCCAAGAGAGGAGCCTTCTGTGAACCCAAAAGAGAGTCAATATCAGCTCCGTTGGCCTGCTCATGGTTAGCCTTTTTGTTATCTTCGACCAAGGCCACTTCCTTAGCTTTGCCCCACATCACCGTGTAAAACCCCATTGTTATTACCGCTGCCCCGATCAAGCTGAGATCAACATTCAAGCACAAAAACGAAAACAAAAGAGTTAAAAGAGAGCAGAGAATGAGAGATTGAGAAAATTAACCTTTTTCGCAGTTTTGGTAGGACGATATAACTTGGAGGTATGGTTAATTCTATCGTAACCGTGAGTTCCAAAAAAATCTTGGAATCATCCATTACTAATCAATGATATGCCTTGACTAAAACTATTAGACTTGATTTGGATGTGCAAGTAGTTTTAAGTGTCAGTTGTTTGATTAGTTATTTCATCAACCCTAAATATTTGTTTGACTAAAACCTAAATATTTTTTTTTTTAACTACATTTTAACCCTAAATATATATTTTACTAAAACTATATTTCATCAACCCTAAATATTTTTTTAAAAACCTTGTATTGGCCATAAATATATTTAGTTATTTAATTAGGGTTAGGGCTTTTATATATTTTGACGGACCAGGACCGACCCTAAATTTTTAGCCCTTTTTAACATCCCTAGTCGACATATAAGTTTCAGTTATGAATTCCATGTAAGAAAAAGAAAACCTCTATCCATACCTCAATAGTCTAGTTTCTTGTTGATGTTACAGACTTCAAAAAGTAAAAAATAAATACTAAGCGTTATAGGCAAAAGTAAATAATTAACTTCGACTAATCTGATATAACACAATCTGATAGTATTTAAATGAATTTCTTGTTTTTAATGATGTTATATATTTATATTATATATTATGGTATAACTTTAAAAAAAATAACTAAAAAGGTAAGGTTGTTGTAAAAACACTTTTCTTAAAAAATTAAAATTATTATATAATCTACACAATTGAAAAAGTGTCAAAATTTAGAAATCTATTCCTGTCCTTTTACACAAAATTAGAAAATATATCCATATAACTGATTTCATTTAGATTTTGTTTTTTGCAAAAGTTAATATTATTAAGACAAAAGATGAAGGCAAAGGACATTGCTTTATCCAAGAACTATATATAAGCATATACTTAGAGCTCTTGTCTTCAAACATTTTATCTTCTAAATTTTTTGTATTCCCTAATTTGTTAAGAGTTTAGTAATAGCAATTTTGCCTATGGATCCAAATAAAATAATAATGAAAGTTCTAACAGAATCTGATGTCAGTTTTCACAGTTGTTTGAATTTACCTAAAGTGCAGATCGAAAGGGTACTGACTACTATACCAAATTTTGCAATGCCTAAAACTGGGTTTCCAGTGCAAGTTGCAGACCACGATAAGGTTTATTCGATGGCCATAAAAAAAAAATCTAATAGTTCTGTTCTTAATGGACCTGGGTGGAATAGTATTACAGAAGCAAGAAAATTCAAGACAGGCGATAAAATTATATTACATTTTCAAGAAAACAAAATCATTCTTTCTAAGATATGATTCTTCATTTTGTTTTTTAAATAAAATACAAATATTATATGTTATTATTACACTTTTGTAATAAATCTATTTAACTACTAATATATTTCATCAATAATGATATTTATTAATCTAATGATATAATTTAATAATAATGTTATTATAATTTAATAAGATTCCCTATTCTTTATGCATATGTACTTAATAACACTTCCGCCAAACTCTGATCATCCAATTATGGATACTGAAATGAAACCGTGGATATGAATTGTGACCCACTTCAAAATGGTACAATGTTAGTTGGTATTTTAATAGATTCGGACAAACGGTGTAAAAGAAATATATATGAAGAAATATAAAAGAATAAAATCAAAGAAGCAAGAAACCAAAAGTCGTTGATAAAATTAGATTAGATTATTATATTAATAAAAAAAAATTTCTATGAATGGATTGTAATAATAGTAACAATATAAGATAATATAATAGTAATCTATAGATTAATAGAAAATTTATTTAAAAATGCCATCAAAGATTGTGACAATTCGTCGTACTTTTTTGTAAATTGATTTTTTGAAATTTTAAAATATGAAAAAATAATACTAAAGATTGTATATTTTTATTGTACCTTTACAGATTATTTTTATTTAGAAAATACACTATTTCTAATTATTATTTTATAAATTTTAGAATGTTATAAATATTCTAATTTCTATTATAACATAAATTTTAATCATTGTAAAAAAGATATAGTTGAGGGTTTCTAGATCTACTTCCAACTGCTATTTTTGCTTCATGATTAAGCTTGGATCTCCTTGACAAAAACAAGCTCGTGTGTCTTCTTCCTGCTCAAAATGGCTCTACGGTGGCGAGATAGCAACGGATCTTGGATCAACATCTCCATTCGACTCGCGTCCTCCAGGCTAATCGGAGGTCCTGTTTCAGTGAAAATTCACAGACCTTGGATGGCAGCTCTGTTTGTTTTCTTCATTTGGAGATTAGGGTTTCATGCGACCGGTTTACTTCGGTTTGCAAAACTGGATTGATTTTGGTTTATGTTTTTGTTTGGTTTGTTATATGCGGTTTGGCTTATAAGGGGATTGTAATGGGCCTAAATCTGGAAATAGCCCATTGGGCACTTATTTATAAAATTGCAAACTTTTTATGTAGAAAAGTATATAAAAAAAAATGAATCAAATGGATATTCTATTGGACATGGGTGTAGTAAAATCAGAGAAGCAAGATGACTCAAACTTGACCATAAAATTAAATTAATTTACATGGTAACAAAATCTTTTTTAGTATGAATTGATTCTTCTTTATTATCTTTTTAATGGAGAAAAACTTATCTGTCATTATTCTATTTTAATGATCTATTAGATTCAGACCCGCACTTACGTGCGGGATTGATTTTCAAAATAAAATTTGTTATTAAATTTTGAAATATATTGCGTACGTACGGGTATGTTTGTAAACGTAACTTTAGGAATGTTATTAACATTTATAATCTAAACCCGTACCAGTTCAATATTTGATTTATTTTTAAATGACTCTAAACAAAAAAGAACGATACAATTTTTTTTTCCGCAGATGTATAGTAAAACAAATAGTAAAAAAATGTGGTTTGTATATTTCGGGACAGAAACCATGACCCGTGTTTTCTAATATGTCATGTACTCATGTTTTTCCATCTCATAACCATTTTAATAATAATTTACTCATTTAAGATGGTATAATTGTTTCGAACATATAAGAAAATAAGTTAACGATTTAAACTTACACGTAAATGTGGGGTTTTATTTATAGATATATTTATTCTATATAGCATTTAAAACATAAACTAATATTTGTTTACTTTCATGAAATTTGTGAATGTCATATCGACATGATAGCGGATCCAGATTGAGTATGAACTATGAGCTACAAACATGATTAAACAATGAAAATAAATTAAAACATTTTCCCCCGGATGGCCTAAATATATTTGTCAATGGCTCAAACACGTTCCAATGCATGTTCCACACTAAAAACAATTTACTCAATATAGATTAAAATAATTTGACCCGCAAAAAACAGATTTCCTATAATCCACATTAGTAAATAGTATGTCCGCATATGTTCTTCTTGAATTCGCGTTAGCTAAAATTTTCGTCCCATATTCTATCATGAATAGTTTAGATGACATTTTATGTATCAAATTACATGTACCCGTTATTTCATGTTTTGATATTTGAAATAAAATTGGAAAGTTAAAAGTGAATTTAACAATTCAAATTCATGTTCATGTATCATACTTGTTATATGATATTTGAAAATTGAAATTGAATTTAGGGGGTTTATTCAAAGTAAAATTTAAAGTGACTTGAGTTTTTTTTAGGAAGTTCGTATTATTTTTTAAACTTGTTAAAATAATTCATAGAAACTGAAGTATAAAAATATTTAAAATATGTTTTAAATGATGCATATTCATCTATAATATTAATTAAGAATCACAAATAGGAGATTGTCAAAAAAGTTTATAATTTAAAAATTAAAAAGATAGAAAACTATCGGATAGATATGTTATTAAGGAGGTTTGGCTATAGATTTGGGATTACATAAAATGTAACTGTTTTATAAGATCATATAATTTTTGAAAAAGTAATGATATAATTATTTATGTTGTATATTTCTCCACATTTTATGCTATGTACAATTTTATTAGTCGCTTATTCCTAATCTAACATAATTATTTTTCTTTTTATTTTTCATAAAATATTATATTTCATTTTCTAATATATATGATCATTTTTATTAGATGTTATTAAATATAAATTATTATTTTTGAAAATATTACAAAATACATATAACTAAAATTAAATATATTTAGATATCTTCAATTTCAAATTTAATAATCCAATGTTTATGGTAACCAAATCAATATTATTTCCATAAATGTAGTAGATAATTTTTATTTTTTATTTTTTGTTATTTAATTGTTTTTTTGGTTGTCTTTAAATATGTTTGGCTACACGATTGACATCATATATATATTTTTTTAATCTTGTTTGGGAACACTTACAAAAAGTGTTCCCCTTTTAATAGTATAGATTAACAAAAAAATTATTTTAATAACGTATTTTGGATGGGTTTATGTGTGTGTTTTTTTATCAAAACATAGCATATCAATTTAAATGTGTTCTAAATATTAAGGTGTGGATATGTATTTAAACTTTGGACTAGACACAAGCCAATAACTTATGTAATTTACATATTGAGCAATGAAAAATCTCAAAACTTGACTAAAATGTTTAGCATTAAAATTCAGGACTAACGGTCATTTGTTAAAACATGCAACTCTGAAACAATTCTTAAATGAAGAATCAACCTTACTCAAGTATATGATATTCATTCTACCCAATTATCAATTTTATCATATTGTAAAGGTCTAAGAAAAAACAGTTAAAAAACATGATTTGAAGATATCCTAAATTATAAGTGATTGATTAGAAAACATTTGATTCCTAAAATTAAAGATCACATTTGTTTTGTCAAATAAATTACAAAGACATTCACATATGAAATTTCACACATATATATAGCGCGATCTTCAATGCTTGATGATCCTTAGACATGTTCATCGTTCTTGTAACTTTCCAAGAGAGGAGCCTTCTGTGAACCCAATGGAGAGTCAATATCAGCTTCATTGGCCTGCTCATGGTTAGCCTTTTTGTCATCTTCGACCAAGGCCACTTCTTTAGCTTTGCCCCACATCACCGTGTAAAACCCCATTGTTATTACCGTTGCCCGATCAAGCTGAGATCAACATTCAAGCACAAAAACGTAAACAAAAGAGTTAAAAGAGAGCAGAGAATTGAGAGATTGAGAAAATTAACATTTTTCGCAGTTTTGGTAGGACGATATGAGTTCGAGGTATGGTTCTATCGTAACCGCGAGTTCCAAACAAATCTTGGAATCATCCATTACTAATCAATGATATGCTTTGACCAAAACTACTAGACTTGATATGGATGTGCAAGTAGTTTTAAGTGTGAGTTGTTTTTCACCTGCCGATATAGAGAGAATCGCGAAGAAATATAACGCCCATTGCAACAGCTATCGCAATCGACAATGGTTTGAACATTGCAACGAATAAAGGCCCCTTGATCCGCAATGCCCACGTATGAATAGTATTGTTTATGCAAGATCCAAACAATCCCTAAAGATAGATACAATCAACATATAACATTTTCATTTGTGAAAAAATTAATTACACTAATAAGTTGTAATGTTCTTACCGAGCAAACGATTGACACTAAAGCTATATTTGGTTTTATCTTCCATACACCCAAGTCACTCCCTTCTGTGAACAATGTAACTAACGCAGTCCAAAAGCTCACGCCTAAGCTATAAAAGCAAACAACGGTAAACTCGGCCGGATACTCTCTCATGATTTGAGTCTACAACAAAAAAAAAAACAAATCAAGATTCCATAATTCTGTTACAAACCATAGAGAGGGAGATGTAATAAAAATGCATATGTATACTTGATCAATGTATATACCTGAACAATGTACCACAATGGAACACAAAAATACTCAACCGAGAGGAAAGCCGCGCCAAGTATCCAATTAGGATTAGTCGATTGCGACCGCAAAGAAACAGACGGTGGCGATGTAGCAATCACCACCGGACCATTGTAAAGAGTCACTATAAATGCACCTCCAATAGACACAACTGTTCCTAACATTTTAGCCACACTACTTGTTCTTTTGAAAGACACAGTCTCCATCCTACAAAAGTGGTCAACTCAATCAATTTACACTCATAATAACGAGGCCCAAATAGACTTAATGGGCCGAGGTTGATTTGGTAACTAGCTAGTGTAAAAGGAATATGTATAAAAGTTGGCACCTGAAAAGGACGGCGAGCAAGAAGGTGAAAGCTGGAGTAAGGTTGCTGATTGCAGAAGCAAGTGTTGGACTACTATAATTGATCCCTGTGTATCCCATTATGTTTGAACAGCATCTATATATTTTTTTTTATCAAAAAAAATATAATTGTCAAAATAACAAAATAATGTATATTCCGTTTTTTACGAAGATGTGAAATAGTAACACCCCAAAAATAAATATTTATTTTCAAGAAATTGGGGGTTAGATTTTTGCAGTATAGTTGCAGCTTTTGGTATCAACTTTAAGCCAAATGTCTCTATCTTTACTTTGTCCTCTAAACTTTGGTTAAAACAAAATTGAGTAATTTCAGTAATTCTCATGCAAAAATTTCATCTTTTCCGATCTTACCACTACCCAAATTAGGTAAATTAAATCTCAAAAATCAGAGAATTTACCCAATAATCCCTAGAAGCACGATCTTGTACAGGATTGAGAAATTCATCGGTGGAAGAGTTCTTGATCTGTGAAAAAAATAATCAAGAACTCATTAATCAAGAAACCCATTACTCAAGATTTCAAGAAAAAAGATGAAAAGTATTCAAGATCGAATCAAGATTCAAGAAGAGAGGAAACCAAACCTGAAGGAGCAAAAGAGAGAAGGTAAGAGAAGAAGAGCAGCAAGACCATAAGAGTAAACGATGAAGACATGAGAGCTCATGCCTTTCAAAGTAGCTGCTTTGAAGAGAGTGTTCAAACCAACGTTTGCACATTCCATTATCACCAGAGCTGTTACTGGTAACACCTCTCTCTGGAAGTATTTTACAGCCATCTTCTTCTCTACTCTCTCTTTGCTATGTCTCTCTGTGTGGTCTAATAGATGTGGAGATTCGAAGAAGTGAGTTTTTCTTTTACACTATATGTAAAGGTGAGAGAAACAGAGTTTTGTTCTGTTTTTTGTATTTTGTTGGGGAGAGAGAAGAAGAAAAGAAGGTGAGTGGGTGAAAGTTAGATTTCAGCAAATGTATTGTGTAGTCATACATACACTTTAGAAAGATGTGAAATAGACAAAAATAAGGTCATGTAACATGCTGACATGTTTTATATATATAATCCATGTACATGTACATATTCATATATAAATAAATGTTTTATATGCCATATAAATGTATATGGAATCTATTACAGTACCAAATAAATGTTTTTATCATATTTATTGACCAAGAAATTTTTAGGTGATTAATTAATGTTTTTTTGTTGGATGTTTCAAGTTTTGGGTTAGATCTCTTAGATTTTTTTTTTTTTTTATGTATTGGAAGAAAATTTTTGTATGTATATTAATTATGGTTTATATTGGAATAAAGGGAGACTTTAGGTTCAATTAATTTTACTTAATAATTTCATTATTTAGGTTTAAATTTAGAGACTGTGCAAAAAAAAGTTTAGTCAACGTTTTAGAGTTTAATTGGTAACGACAAACTATAAACTAACTATCGATCCAACGGAATAACAGTATGAAATAATTAAATATTTCTTAAAATAGTTTTTCGAACCTAATTACTTAAAATTGATCAAAATATATATAATTTATGTCTCTAATTTCAAAATTGTTGAAATTATTTGAGGTGGATTGTGTAGCGTCAAATTTTGAATTTATTTGTTGGTTCAATTTTCTTAGTTTTCATGTCATTATGTCAGCTAGGAGCCATTGGTAGACCTTGCTCCACTTTCATAGATTCGAGATCTCCATATCGTGCTATAATAGTTTTAACCAAAATTTCTCCAAACACTTATATTCTAAAGTAATACCGAGTTTATTCTAAAGTGTTCACAAGATGGTATCTTCTTTTTGTCAAGTGAACATGCAAGATCATATCATAATCATAAGAAAGCAAAAATGTCCTAACTAATTGTCTATATTATAATTCGATACCAAAACACATGGTTTAGGCCATTCGTATAATGGAAGCATGCATCTTCCACACGCCATAAAATTTAAAAACCTAATTATCTCATTAATATTATTGTCAAATATATAAAGTTCCATCCATCTCAATAGAATCCAACACATAATAAAAACTAACATATATAAATTAATCGATTAGATTTTGACACGTGTTATTTGATAAATTTTCTTTAATTAGATCATTAAAAAACATATTGTAGTTATCATCCATGGTAGTAACGGGTGACAGAGAATTATGATTCAATTCCGGAAAAAGACCCATAACTTTCACAAGAGATTAGTTCTTTGGATGTTTTAGTTGAAATCTACGTATACCACTTCATTATCAAATTGTGATTGACTGATTCTTGATTTAACACAAAAGTTTTCCTAGATAAAATTTGTTGTAAGTTTTTCAAAGCTTGAACAATTCTGAGTATGACTTTTTGCGTCAGTCATATAGGAAAATTACAAAACCTAAAAGATAAAGTTATAAGTAAGGCGACGTGATGCGTTACGCTTGTGTATGTATTAATCAACTTGATAAGAAAACTACGGCGTAAATAATTCGATTAAATGACAAAGAGATTGTGTCCTACAAGTAAAATAAAAGTATACGAAACCTTTTTAAAAATTTATTTATTAGATAATCGAAAACGACATCGAATATATATAAAAAAATAGATAATAACAAAAACAATTCCACATTATTGTCTTTGTCATTCTTACCCAATTCTAGCCACTACATAATAATAATTGTACAAATTTTTATTTTTGTTCTAATTCAATGTCAGTCATTATTTAATATTTTTGTACTACATTGCTAAATTAATAAATAAAGAGAAATTTCCTTAGATAGCATGTTTTAAGTTTTTTTTCCAAAAATACCATCATTTGTTTTTTTTTTTCCAAAAATACCAGAAACATAAAAAGTTGAATTTTGAAGATGTAAAATTATTATTTTTTATGTTTGAGTTGACTATTTACATTTAGAGTATAACTTTTAAGTGTAGGGTGTAGTGTTTAGGATTTAGAAATTAGTTGTGAATGTTAAAAAATTTTAAGTTTTAGTTTTATGTTATTTTTGGAATAAATTGTAATTTAATAGTATTTTTGGAAAATAAACTTCATAATGGTATTTTTGGAAAAAAAAATACTCATTTTTGTGGTATTTAAGAGAATTTCCGGTTAATAAAACACATGTCTTAGAGAGAGAAAAAAAGAACCTATTAATGATAATAATGGTCAATGATTGTTATGATGATGATGACATAGTGAAGTAGAGAAAACAAAGAGAAAGAAAGAAACCTAATGGGAAATTAAACTAAACATAAAGAGTGTTTTTAGAAACTATCCATGATACGGTGAGGAACAGGAGAGTTAATGACTTGCAAGATCTGAACAATCTCAGCCATTGTAGGACGATTCGAAGGTATCTGAGAGGTACAGACAAGAGCAAGTTTCAAGACAGGTAACACTTCATCTTCAGAGTATTGTTCCTCCATGACAGGATCAATACACTCCAAGACATTCCCTTGTTCTAGCAGAACTCGAACATGGTCGCTAAGTATCACGAAGCTGTCTTCACCGTACTCCACTGGTCTTCGACCAGTAACGAGTTCGAGTATTAATACCCCGAACCCGTAAACATCGCATTTCTCGTTGACTCTTAAGTTCTGACACTCTAACTCAGGTGCTACGTAACCTAAAGCGTTTTGAAACCTGTTGTTGTTCATTGTGTTCCCGTCTTGTGTTGTTAGAAGACGAGATAGTCCGAAATCGGAGATTTTCGGGTTGTTTTTCTCGTCGAGGAGGATGTTGGTTGGTTTCAGGTTGAAGTGGACTGTTGCTGGACGGAATGTGTGGTGGAGATAAGCTAGTCCTTTGGCTGTACCGAGGATGATTCTGTATCTTACGTCCCAAGAAAGAGGCGGTGTTGATGGTTCTCGTTCGTGTAACTTGGACTGCAAGTTTCCATTAGGGATGTATTCTGATACCAGAAGATGCAACTCCGGTGTCCAGAAATATCCTTTGATCGATACTAGATTCGGGTGCTTCGCTTTCGCCAGTATCCGAACTTCGCGGTCGAAATCTTCTAGGTTTTGAAGAATCGGCGAAGGGACGAGTTTCTTAACAGCCAAGTTTCTCCCCTGTTCTCCCAAAGGTGCCTTGTAGACTGTTCCGAAAACTCCTTCACCGATTCTTGAAGCTTTGTTCAGAAGTGACTCCGGGTTCCTCTCGAACTCTTGAGATGAAGATGAGGACCGTGACGTTCTTGAGTTTAACAGAACAAGTTTACCCATCACTAAGCTTCTCCCTGATTTCGAAGACCCCGAGAAAATGCTCTCCAACGCGTTGTCTACAAACGCAAGCCGCCTTCTCACAGACGCGTTAAGCAGCGTTATGATTATAATTCCAGCGAAAATGAGTATAGCAGCTGATATTGCTACAATCACTGAAACACTAAGGAACATTCCACGGTGGAACTTTCCAGAACCATTGCTCGCTCGGTCTCCTGGCATATTTTTCCCCTTCCCATACGCGTTCGGATCGATAACAAGAGGTTTCGGAACATTCAGTGTGCAAGGCCCTCTCAACAACGGTGAGCAAATACCAAGATTTCCTTGAATAGCACTCTGGTCTAAACTTTGGAACACATCTCCAAGCGGCAACCTTCCGATGAGTCGGTTAAACGAAACGTTAACCAATAACAGATTCTGCAATTCGCCAAGCTCTTTCGGTATTTCGCCGCTAAGCTTATTAGCCTCTAGCTTTAGAATCTTGAGCTCTTGTAAGTTTGAAAGGGATTTAGGAATAGGACCTGTAAGCTTGTTATGAGACAAACTCCTGCAACAAGAAACATATATATCAATAGAGGAAAAACATTTGCAGTTAAGCAAAAACAGATATAAGAAAAGAGAAGTCTTACAATAACTTAAGAGAAGAGCAGTTTCCTATTCCTTCTGGTATAGAACCAGTTAGTGAGTTACCATCCAACTGAAGGATCTGAAGACTCTGAGATTCACATATATCAGCAGGAACCGAACCAATCAGCGCGCTGTTCCTTAGATCCAGTATGGTTAGATTCTGTAGAAACTCGATTTCAGGAGGAACTCTTGTGTTGAAATGGTTCCATGACAAATTGAGGTATCTCATGTTGATGAATAGCCCTACTTCACCAGGTATATTCCCAGTGAGCTTGTTACGCGAAAGATCGAGCCTTGTAACTGACTCAAACAGCCTACTCGAGCCTCTCGGGATCGAACCGGTGAAACCATTACCCGAAAAATCCATTTCTTGAAGTCCAAGATCGAACAAACCATCGGGAATGCTACCAACAAAGCCATTCCCTTTGAGCTGAACAATCATAAGCTCTTTACAAGATTCCAAAGATTCCGGTAGCTCGCCAATGAGTTTGTTCTCAGACAAGATTAGATCTTTTAAAGATCTCAAGTTACCTATTGAAGAAGCAAGCTCCCCAGTTAACTCATTGCTTGAGAAATCCAAGTGTACTAAACCGGACATATCACCGATCCATCCCGGGAAATCACCGGAGAGCAAATTGTTCGATAAATCGAAGTGGTATAAAGATTTGACCCTCTGAAGAGTTCTTGGAAGTTCACCAGAGAAAAGATTGAAACTTAGGTCAACTCTGTTTAAATGAGGACAGAGTCCAATATCTGAAGGCAATGGTCCAGAGAACTGATTCCTCTGTAACTGCAACACTTTCAAGTTATGCAGAGTAAGTATCCCCAAAGGTATTGGCCCAGAAAGAGAATTAAACGATAGATCTAAAACTCTTAACCTCTCAAGCTTCCATAGTCCTGAGACGAAACTAGGGTTACCGGAAAAATCGTTTCTTGAGAGATTTAAACTGTTCAAAACAGAGCATTGAAACAGAGTACTTGGGATTTGACCTTCGAGGTGGTTGTGAGAGAGAGAGAGGAACCTAAGTGATGAACAGTTGTTGAAGAAGTCATCAGAGAGTGTACCGGAGAAGGAGTTTCCGGTTAAGTCGAGGTGTTGCAAGGAGGTCATTGATCCAAGAGAAGATAGGATTTGACCGGAGAGATTGTTGTGGCTAAGATCTAGCTTACGGAGATTGTTGTTAGTGGAGAGAGCGTTGATGTTTCCGGTGAAGTTGTTGTTGGAGAGTGAGAGGACTTTTAAATGTTGAAGCTTTTGGATTCCACGGTTGATTTTTCCGGTTAAAGCTAAACCGTCGAGGGTAAGGTCAGTGACTCGAGATGTTTTGGGGTTGCATTTGACGTAGCTCCATGAACAAGGTGAGTTGTCGTCTTCGTTCCATGACTCAAGGTGTGAAGATGGGTCGTTGAGGTCTGACTTGAAGACGATGAGTCCTAGAACGTCGTCGTTTAGTTGGATTGAGTCAATCTCACCATTGATGAGTGATGCCATCATCAATGTTGTAAGAAGAAACAGAGTTAATGAGATCATGTTTCTTCTCTTACCGTTCATTGTTGATGTTCTTTCTCTCTTGATGGGTAGAGAGAGATGAAACTAAGGTTTGTTTAGTGAGTAGAGAGAGATGAGAGAGAGTTATGACATTTTGATGAAAGAGAGAGAAAAAGAGAATGGAGTTGAGTTTTGTGCCAATGAGATGAAACTCGAAGTGTTAGTGAGTGTAAGATTCTGAACTTGGCTACATGACAACAACTAGATCGAGTTTACATATGATCACTATGGCTAAATGGACCACATGGTCTTTATCAGGTCTAACCAAAAATGTTCGGTTTAGTTGATTATCTTAAGTTATATGTGTCTCTACTTGTTAAATACATATCTGATGACTAATACCATGTTACAATGTTTTAAGAAGTTATCTCCATTATGATGACTAATACTATGTTACAAGGTTTTAGGAAGTCATCTCCATTTCGGGTCAAGTGACCCGATCCATACCCGACTCGACTTTTCGACTTAAAACATACCTAATTATCCTTCTGAATCGAAATGAATAATATTGTATATAATTTTAAAAGAAACAATGATTTGTAAACTAAAACCTAGATTAAAATTTGATGTTTACAACTTTCTATATCCGATTCGACTATCCGACTCCGTTTGATTCGAAACGAATAATGTGTAATTTGTAAAGGAAACAATGATTTCTAAACTAAAACCTAGACTAAATTTTATGTTTACTATCCGAATCGAAATGAATAATATGTAATTGTAAAGGAAATAATGATTTGTAAACTAAGACCTATAGACTAAATTTGATGTTTTACAAAATCCTCCATAAAATATCAAGGTCTTCTTAATTGTCAAAGTGTGTAATATCCAATAGATATAAATATGTAGTCTAGAGATCATATAATAAAGTATCATTGGACTACAACCATATCTAGCCCCGACTTGTACGTAATAATAGAGTAAAAAGTTATATCACAAGAAAGGGAAAGAGAAGATATGAGATATGGTTCAATAGAGAGATCGATAGAGACATATGAATATGGGAATCCAAAATATAATATGAGAAAATTATAAAGGAAAGAAGAAAAGAACAAAAATAGGGTTTGGTGCCATTAGAACAAGAAAGACTCGTGACTGACAAAGTTATGTGTAAAATCCCACCGCACAATTAGCTTATCTGTCTTTTTGTCCCGACACCTCTCTCTCTCTCTTTCTTCATAGCCTCTCAATTTTAAGATTCAAATTACAAAACTTAAACTAAGCTTTTTATAAGATTATTAACCCTACTTACTAAAGGAGATTTATAAAATGTTTCTTGGTTAGAGACACCCTAAGACTATGATTTGTGTTCATCTAGTTTTTGTCTCTTTTTTAGACTTATGAATAGAAGCTAAAGATGTAGTATTCATAGAAAATGTTATGAAGATTATTGCAATTAGTTAGCATTAAATGTAATTATATCTAGAACTTTTTTGTTATATATAATACCAATATACTTTTGTACTTATAAGCCATTTTGGTTAAAACTAAAATCAAGTTAGGAAATTTGTAAATAAAGAACAATTTTCCTCCTTATTTGTTACATTATTATTAGAAAATACCATAATGTTTAGCATGCTAGTATTAAAATATTACCTTGAGCTTCACGAGTCGAAAAACCTAATTTTATACTTTTCATTGTCAACAAAATTTTCAAATGATTAAAAAGTAATGATGAACGACTCTTGCACCATGTAATAGATTATTAAGTTTGTTTTTATTAACCTGCAATCATTCATTTATAAATCTGATAGGAATCAAATCGAAACCTGGGGAAGAATTATGCATTTATCTATCATTGAGGGATTAGCTAGGAAGTCTATAAAAAATATTTTTGTTACTTTTTCTTGTTTTTAATTGAACTGTTACTTTACCAAAATATGAATGTTAATTGGCAATGTCTTGAGAAAATTTCAACAGCTTTTACTGTAATAACACTTTACAAATGCAGTTATATATGTCCCACTAGAACTGTATACTTATTAAAAACCCATACTTTTTGTTTTCATAATTGAGTATTTTCTCCCAAAAATATAATTTCAAATATTTAGATACAATTAACAAAAAAAAACCAATCTAAATTTAGTAAAAGAAATACTTTTTTTTTATTCAAGAAATATGTTTTAGTTATGTGAAAATGTGATAAATGGCTGGAAAAATCTATCCAATCACATACTTATTTTGTAAAAGAAGTTCTTCATTTTGATGTATTTAATATCATTCCATTCGAATTTATTTACGTTTTTTTCACGATCCTATCGTTGCACAATAATACAAACCAGTGTCTGATGTTTGGAACAAAGCATGTTCTCAAATCTTGGTTGTTTTTCAATAATTATTATTTACCCATCTCTCAAGATATTCTTCCGGCCAAAGACTATAATGTAACAATACATCTATCTTAACATTTTTGGAGTACATTTTGTACTAAAATCTATTTTGGTTTATAACCTTTTACTTTTTAATATTTGCATAACTAAACCCTTGCCATTTTGATAAATAACAAAACTTAAAAGTAAATTTTGTAATTAAATCACAAGTAAATCGCAAAATTGGAAACAAATATTTATTACTTCAAAAAAATTTCATAAAATCTCTCTCTAATGTATTTATATAATCTTATTTGTTTTTAATTTATTTTACTACATATAACATATGTATAATAGAAATACAAAAAACATTTCAGCATATTTTGCAATTTAAATTTTTGAAAACGGACTTATATTACTAAATCGATAAAGGAAAAAATATGTGTAAAATGTCTACATAAGGTAGAAAATTTTAGATAATAGTTCAAAACCATTATAAATAAGACTAATATTCTCTCAACTACAAATGTGCAAGAATTTTGATTTCTCAGGCGTTCAAATTAAAATATTTATTCTGTTTAATCCGGTTCTTTATTTAAGAAAAATGAAAATGTTTTTGAATTTTTATAAATATGATTATACTTTTTGTTTAAGAGTTGTCTATATTTAAAGTTTTTTACGGGCTAAATTAAAATATAAATTTTTAATTTAAAAACAGTTATCATGTAGTATACCGCATGTTAAAACTTAACATAAGCAAAAAACAAAATCTAAATGAAATCAATATTGTCGCATGGTGTACCACGGGGTAACTCATTCAAAATAGTAAAATTTAAATTTTCGAATACGGTGGCATCGAAATTAATATTATTTCAATCAAGGGTTCAAGCATGTAGACAAAGGATTTGGGCCTAAACTTATGTAATGTTAAGTAGTGACTAAATTGACTATGTGGGTTCTTCGGTAAGGTGTATCAAAATTCGTGTATGATAGGTTTTTGTGGTCTAGAATTTTTTTTGGTTTATTTATGTAGCTTTGTGGTGCGTCCAAATGAAAAAGTAACTTATTTGACTCTAAGTAGATCAATGGACATATCCAAAGGGTAGTTTAGTGGTTCCCCATTGTGTTGGACTTTATGGTGCCTCAAATTAGTGTGTGAATTTCTTCTTGAGCTGGTTAAAAAGTCGAAAAACTGAAAATCGTCATAGCTTGCAATCGGGCCTGGTCTGTCAGCGAATACTTCAGTAATTACACCAGACGGTCCTTCAAATGTTCAACATATATACTATCTTTAAATTGGTTGCTTGGTAAATGATTACTCCTAAATCATTAATTTTCTTAGGATTAATTTGCTGGTGAATAATCAAATTCTATGCCTTATGTTTGATCGAAACATCGTTTGGACAAAGATTTTCCAAAATGCTCGATGTGACACGGTTTCATATATCTACTGGTTGGTTTGGTTTTCTCTCTGGTTGGTTTGGTTTTCTCTCTGTTAGATCTGGTTGTGATGTACGCATACGCATCAAAAATCCACTAGCAAGGTAAGATCTAAAGCGTCAATCTCTTGTAACACTTTTGGCTATATTCCTAGTAATTAGAGGATTAGCTTTTGTTGATAAGTAAGTAAACGATAAAATCTTGTCAAGACAAGATCGATGTAATGACCATTTAAAAGGACAATTGCTACATAAATAGCATTAGAACAATCAGATCAAGTGTACACGAAACGTGCCAAAGTTGGCTAAACAAACATGAAATAGTTAATACTAAAAAAAGAAAAAAAAATTTACCTTCATCGTTTTCCAAATACCAAAAGTTACTACTTCAAGATTTTTTATTCACATTGTTTGTTAATTTTGTCAAACATTTTACTTCCTACTTAACCATATACTAACTTGTTTCAGCTCTTCCTTTTCTTTCGCTTCAAGAAAGGCATAGCACTTAATCCTCCTCCAACTGAAGAGTTCCCAAAATCAATCTCAATATTTGTCTCTACTGATGCATTATCTTCTTCGTTTCGACGTTTACCTTTCTTTTTCCGTTCTTCACTCTCGATTTCATCTTCCTCTGCTGTTTCGTCTTCATCTACGCAGAATCCGCCACCAATCACTCTGTAATCATCGGTAGATTTATCTTCCAAATGAGCATCTCCAATCTCATCAGCTTCATCTGTACAGAACCCACCTCCCGTTTGAATATAATCTTCAGAAGGACAGTTGTTGATTGATGCCTCATCGATGGTTGTTTCATTCTGTGTTCTTTCTGCAGAGACATTTCCTATTCCGCTTTCGTCATTATCTTCCAAAATCTCAATAGGGGATTCTCCATGGCTTCTTGACTCGTTCAATTCATCTTCTTCTTTCACATTGTACTTCACAGGATTCCGAGATCGTGTTGACTGGGGATTGACAGTTAGTAAAGTGAATTCATGACATAATCAACTAAAACAAGTAATACTGGTTCCATTACACGAAAGCTAAATTAAGGCTTACCCTTCGCACTTTTTGAAGATTGCTCGGTTTTGCCTGCAATTCTACTACCTTGTCATCATCATCAGAAGTGCCGTCTGATAGCTCAAGGAGATCTTTTTGGACTCTTCCTCTTCCTCTTCCTCGTACTCTTTTCTGGGCTCTGCCTCTGCCTCTACTACTAGATGGTTTTTCTAAGCACTTCTTTTTGTTTTTCACTTTCTCATCAGCTTTAGGTGAATCTTTATCTGAAGTGTTGTTATCTTCAGTTTCACGAGGAGCAACTCTTTTCTTATTTCGGTTTTTTGTACCTTCAGCCACATCTGACGATAGACCTCCGCCAATTCCTTTGACAGCTTTGTTGATTCTTTTACTACGGATCTTTGCAAATCTTTCATTAAAGGAATAGAAAGCTTCCATCCGAAGTTGCGTCTTCACGGAATAAAAGAAAAAAAAAAATCAAACTGTCAGACTCTGTTCATATTATTAGTCATATATATATCGAAGATAAGAAGTCAAATGTAGAAGACCTCGCGCTTTTCGTACTCCTTCAAGACTGGTAGTAGTAGATCATCTGTTTTCTTGCCGTTCCAACCAAACTTTTCCCAGCATAGCCTTCACAAAAAAGTGATCCTTCACAATCAGAACTCAGGACATTGTTTCATAGATTGGAAGTAGTTTATTAAAGAAACAGAGTCCATCGGCCAAAAAAATGAGTATGTTGTGTGTTCCTACTTCAGATTCATTGAAACTTTTATCACGCCCTAAGTGGCTTCACAATAAAATTCAAGCTATGCCATATTGTTTGAAAGAAACTAGATAGTAGATGAAATTAGATTTTTAAGTCCCTGATATTAGTTTAAAAACCTGCTTCTAAAGAAGGATGATCATATCTGTTCCCAATATGATGAAATGTCAAGTTAAAAAACGACTTACTTTCTAAGAACTGAAAGATCAGGCTTGCCCCATGAGAAAGTCTCAGTCGACCGATCCACTTGTGGATTTAAGTAGGCTGAAATAACAGCCTCACTAGGGAAAGTCGATGGAATATGCCAATTCTTGCTTACCTTTCTCTGTAAAATTTAAATGGTATATCAAACTTTCAGAAGGGTTTTGTCAATTTGGACCATAATAAATTAAACATTAGAAGTTCAGGTAAAAGAGCAATACATGCTGATCCATGAAGATTTGCTTTATTTCTTCAGTGTCATCAGTCGAGGCACCTGAGATGATTTCTTTATCATCTACAGAGGCAGACCCACGCTTTTTCACCTTCGAACCTGTTTTTGCATCAGTCTTTCCTAAAATGGTTGGATCAGGTGACTCAACCCATTCACGAAATTTCTGAAGCCCATCGTCCTCAGGAAAAGCAGTCACAACTTCAATAGCATTGACAATACCAATACCACTGCATGTCAAAACAATTATGATATCAATAACATAAAGAGCGGAATTTTGACCCTATGCAGTAAAAACCTCTACTAACCTGATTCCTTCTGTGTAATCACTTCCTAGAAGCATTGCCATGCGGATTATTTTATCTCTGCTCAAGCCTAGCTCCTTCTCAATGTCCTGAAATTAAAAGAGGTTAGAGATTGAAAAACCAAAAGTACGCGATTAACAATTTAACACAAACAGATCGATAAAGAAAAATGTATCAATTTTCTGCCAAAAGAAGTATCAACTTATTCCTAATAAAGACAAATAGATCAAACAGCTACCGAAAAGCTAACAATCCAGAGGAAACGACTTAAGTGCTAGATGTTATAAAGGAGAAGAGACAAGCCCGAGATAGTATAAAAGCTTATGTGAAAATGATGAAGAAAATAAACTTATCGCATACAATAAATAATTTCTTAAATCCACCAGTAGGAAACAGAGTTTAAGGACACACCTTCATAAAGTATGTCTCCACATATTTGCGATCATCAAATATGTTTTTGTACACGCTCCTTGCTCCAAATAAGAATACATCAGAATCGTCAGTGACAATGCCATCAACAAGGTTTGATTGTTCCATAAATGCACACTGTGCCTCTGCTTCCATGGGAGCTATGATGTATGGTATGCCAAAAAATTGGAGTAGCTCCTAAAGAAATAAAAAAACCGACAAAAGCATGATAAGTTTGTTGTCAAATTAAACAGACCAGAAACTCCAAAATTTTTGCAAGAGGGCTGTATAAAGAGGAAAATGACTCATAGGTACTAAAAGACAACGGGCAAACCTGGCATTCTGTAAACATCTCACTGCTCACAGATTCAGCATTCCGCTCAAGTTTCCTCTGTTCATCCCCTAAACTTACGAATTCTTGGTCGAGAACTCGAATTTCCTCCTCTAAATTTGCTTCTGAAAACTCAACAGGTACGTCTTTTTCTTCTAAACATGTTGAACTGTCAATATTGAAAGTGTGCTCGTTAGAGTAATTTTCCTCCCTTCTTTCATTCTGTGAATCTGTGTCATGTAGTATTCCTATTTGCGATCTGATGACATCACTAAAAGGGTCCTCTGATTCAGTGACAGGACTCTGGACTTTGCGTCTACTATCTCTCTTATCATCCATCATGATCGATGCGTCACTGTCAGCATTACCTTTTTTGACACTACCGCAAATAGATGTGTCACCAATAAAACCAGTTCTCTCCTCATCAGCTATGGGCATAGCAGACACTTTGACAGATTCTCCATCAAAACTTACAGAACTTTCTTCATTGTGATGTTTAGCCATAGAGGACAGCATGTAGCTTTGACTAGAAACATTAGATGCTTTCTCTGGTGAGATAACTGATTTTACCTTTGGCAATTCATTGCTCACAACACTGCTAAAGTTATTAGAACCGGAAGTAGGATGTGTACCAAATTGTTTGGTTATCCCTTTCTGACCATCTGGATTCTCAGCTACAGAAGTGTTGGACTGCTCATTTATAGCACCACTGGTTTTCGAGATTGTTATTTCGTCCAGAAATCCCTCTTCCTCAGCATCACCAACGGTTTCCTTAGAACAAAGACTATCTTGTCTAGGCTTGTCAACAAGATTTACCCTTACTGATTTATTTTCTTCAAGAAGGATATCCCCGGAATCCTTATCATGTAATTCAAGAAGACTTTTCTTGATAGCCTCCTGTAGATCAGCTTCTTCTTCCAAATAGCCTTTTGTGTACTTTGTTACTGTATCATTCTCGGTGGAATTACTGACATTTTCAAAACTATTTTCTTCCCTTGCTGCTCCCTCATCAATACTAATATCCTTAGGGATATGCTGATTACTTGAATATACTTCGAGTTTAGTAACAGAAGTATTCTGTTCAACAGGTACTTCTTCCCAATCACTGTCAGAAGCCCACGGTGAAGAGTCTTCTTTAGGATCATTTTCTGTGGAACTGATTGTCACTGGTCCTCCTGCTGCCAACTGAAGAAACATATCATCTTCGTCATTGAGATCATTTTCACCACCATCATGTTCAAATGATATCTCTATTGAAGATGGATTTTGCAGCATGGAATCATCATTCTGGATCTCCAGGTTTACAACATCATCTTCTTCAACAGGTGAATTTTCAAGAAATTGGTCTTCAGTAGGAAAGTTCTCCCAGGCGTTGAGTGTTTCATCATTATTACCCATAGACCCAGAAGCTGTTCTCTCCTTTTCTTTTATCAAATGTAAGTTCCTCTGGATATCACGTGTCATCTGGATTCCCATGTGTCTGTTCCTTATTCTAAATCGCCCCCTTTCATCTTTATATACTTCAATATTTTCATCAGGATTTGTAGGTTCATCTCTATCCAATTCAATGGTAGCATCTGATTTTTTCTGCGAGGAAGCATTCTTAACAGGGACTGGCAAAGACAGTCGTGACGTATTCGTTTGATTTTCATCATTTCTTCCTTCTCTAGCAGACACAAGTACTCTAAAAAAATATTAAAAATATCAGATATTCTCTATTACGAGAAAACCTTATTCGTTCATAAGACTTCAAACTGAAACTCACTCTTTATCACCAGCAAAGGAAGATGAGAATATAAACTCTCTGTTTGCTTCCGAAGCTATCCTAGAAGTTTGAACTCCACCAACAGCCCTTCCACCAGCAGATCTCTGAACTTCATTTATTTCCCGACGGAAGGCTACAGTTTTAAGATATGCTTCTATTTGTAATTCAGAAAACTTTTCAGGGGCCTATACACTCATAAACACGATAATTAATTCCATAGTCAGTGTTCCGCGTCTCCCCATATATAAAGATTCAGATACATAAATGGAGCTACAATGAGCCAGTAATTTATCTAACTCACCTTCTTGACCTTTTGGTACTTTTGCCGGTTTTCTGCCATCAATTTTTCTCTCATCTACGAGTAAAGACATTATTAGATAATCTGAATCGTTCATGAATTTCAACATGCTGCAAAGATATGGTACAAAAACAGTTGATTACCTGAACAAGGAGATCAAGTTGCATAGATGGAGGAAGAGAAGCCAAAACAGCTGGGTCGACATCCCCATCCATTACTGGCTAGAAAGGTAGACAAATTATTATTAGCAGATGAGGATGGTAAAGTATATCACATAACTCCTTAAAAAAGACGAATAAACGAACGCATAAATCCAAAGACATTATCATGACTCTTTACAAAGAAAATGAAGAATTTATCCAGATATAGAGATTTTCCCTTTTTAGACAAGTTGACAACTGGTGTGGATTGCTTAACTAAAGAATCTTAAAACTTAACCATTTTATATTCCCTGAATATAAGTGATCTGTAAACTTAAGCAACAGTAGATAAAACGAGAGAAGATGTAGCACAAAGACCACAGATTACCAGTAACATTTCCTCATCTTCGTCGCTGTCCTCCTCCTCAGATGAGATTGCTGCAGCTGAAGTTGATGCTTTGCTACTAAAGTTTCCTTCTTCTTCTGCTGCAAGGGATGCCGCCAACCTATATATTAAACACAAAATGACTACATGCAAATAAATATCTTCAATCAATATCTCAATTACTCTGCGTACATCTCATCCAACTTTTCCTGATAATTCTTCCCCTGCACTGAGGAATCCTGTTCAAGATTACACTTCATTTTGTTATCTAGTTCATCCTCATCCAACAAAACGCCCTTTCCCTTGGGATCATCATTCTGTCAATCACCAACAAACAAATCATAGACATTATATAAGTCTCAACAACTAAACCACTTACAAATTAGTGAACAAAGAGTGAGGATAAAGAGTTGACAGATTAAGGATTGAACATAGAAATACCATGAAGAAATCAACACTACCTTTGCTACCAAGTGTTAAGTTACTAAAACAGAGTCTTATGATTCCATAAACACTAAACTACGAAAGATGCAAGACAAAGGGCATGTGAAAGCAAAGAAACAACATAAACTAGTACGACATCACAACAAAGCGTAATAAATTTCCCAGCTCCTGATTCGTTACAGCAAGATACATGATTGATGGCATAAAAAGGAACGAAAAGACTATCAACTATGACATGCACAGTTAGCATCAAGCTATTTTGAGAGGGTCTGTGCCAACAAATCCTAACTAATGAAGACAAAAAAAAGGAAGTGGATACTTAGGAACACAAATCACCAAAGGCAGTCCAACAACACCCACTAATGTTTTTAATTTGCAGTTCAATGTTTAGGATTCACTTACCGTGGACTCTCTAATGACATCACCAACACCATTTTCTCCACCCATAGATGCTGGAGATCTACATCAACTAAACTTGTTAAAGCAAATCCCACCAACAAAAATGAAATGTACTGTTAACGTGAACCAAAATTTGATAGCTTACATCTCATCTAGCTTTCCCTCCACAAAAAAACTACTCCCTACATCATCTTTCTTCGCCGAATCTCGCAAATTATCATGCACAGAATCAGAGGACACACGTTTCTTCTTTCTATCACTATCATCCTGCTTCAGTCTTTGATTCTTAATATCTTTAGCTTGTTCCTTCAGCCTCATATCCTTAAGCTAACATAAAAAAAAAATCCCAAAAACAAAAGCAATTCACTCAAAACTTACTAAATTTAAACAACCACACCAAATTGAAAACTAGTTTTACACAAGAAACAAACAAACCCGATTAAGCAGCAATTTCTCAGCGGTTTTACGGATTTTAGTCTGTGCATTCTCACGCTGACGACGGCGAGCAATAACAGTACGGCGTTTCAATGCCGGAGTGGCTCCGTCAAATACAAAGATCGGTTTAGTCCTTAAGAACAAAAGCTTACAAATCCTTCGGAAAAAACCGATCAAGTGTGCGTTCTGAACCATATCTCCCTTCTCGTCACGCATCGCTTTGATAAACTGTACCATCCATATACTCGCATCTGCAAATTCGAACGAGAGTACAGCAACATCATCAATTGAATTCGGAAATAGAAAAAAATTACAATTGGAGTTCGATCGCCGGAGATTGTTACCGATGGCTAATCGTTTGTTGGCAAGGGTTTCGACGGAGACACGACGACCTACAGGAGCAAGAAGCTCCCAAAGACCTTGCACTCCCATTTTTTTTTTATCTCAGTTTCTTTCGCCGATACTTCGCCGTTGAGAATGCTGCCGCCATCGGAATCCCTTTATATACGTCTTGAAAGATCGACGGCGGTCTAAAGTTATACGTTGTCGTTTCACAACCTCTGACCCGGTTTATGAGCTAACTAAACCGGTTCAGTATTGGGCCATATTAACAGATCTAGTAACCGTTGTTTTGTCTTTTTTTGCTTTCCTTTACCTGACGTTAAGGCCCAAATCTGTTAAGGCCTTTGGTTAAATGATGATTACTCTAATAAAGTTTAAACCCAAGTATTTTTCGATTTTAATTTTGATTTATTTTTTAATTATATAATAATATGGTATATTGTTGTACTTTGATTAGTTAATTAAGAAAAAGTGAACGAGAGTAGTTCTACTAAAAAGAAGGTATATATATATTCTCTATTAGAAACGAAAATGTAGTAACAATATGCATGCAAAATAATATTAAAACCCCTAAAGATCAATTTGTTTTTCCTTTTTTCTTAATATTTTCTAACGTTCTTCAGAAATTTTATAAAAAATATATGTGGTTCGTCATGCTTTTCTATAATTCTTCTTCTTACATTTATTCATTCTTTGACTAATTTTATTTGTATAAGCCAAAAAAAAAAAAAAAATGGGTCAGGCCAACATGTAAGTTGTCTACACGTGTGATGTTGAGATGGTGAGTTTTTTCTCTATTCCGGTGATCGGGTGTACTCATGCTAGGACCAACACGAATGCAAAAACCAAAAATAAAATGGCCGACCAAAAAAAGAAAAGTAAGAACGAACAATAGAAAGCAAAAATAATAATGAAAAAGCTTATTCTAGCCGAGTATAAAGATATTTTGGATGCTTCTATCCATTTTAGAAATATAGTTTTATTTTTTAACAATAATTTGTTCGAACATAAGAACTTTTTAAAATTATCTACGTCCAATGGTAAAACTCTAATTGGAATTCTTGAAAAGAAAACTGAAAACTACAATTTTATAAAACATGAAAATTATTAGATTTTATAAAATTTGTAAAACACATAATATAAAAACATAATAAAAACATATAGTACAAATTATATTTCAATTTTTACCAAAGTTTTACCAAATATTCTCAACGAAATCAGATTTCAATTGTTAATGAATTGTTCGATCACGAACTTTACTTATATTACTGGAATTTGAAGAGATATTTGTAGAATACATGAAGTCCATTTTTTTTATCGGAAGAGATGAAAGTTTCGGCCACTTTTTTTTTTCTTAAAATCAAACTACTCATAAACCGACATGTGGCATTAGAAACAGTGCCAAAATTTCTTAACTAAAATACATATCTTAGTTTTATTTTGATTGTTGATTTACTTTTTTCTTTTAATTACTAAGAAACAAGTTTAAAAACTTGCATCGGAGATTGTCTTATATATGGACTTTTATTGCATCCATAATCTTAAAATAAAATATAAAAAACATTATCTAGGATCGAAATCCCCAAAAATGGTGTAGATTAAAATATTAAAACCTTGATATCAACCACTAGATGAAAGCAATTATAATCATGAAAACTATGTTTAAATTATGAATTACATATATTGGCCAACTATGGTAACATCTTGACCCAGTTTGATAGTAGCACTATGGATCGATGCTAAGACCATAATTACTTATGTGTTGATAAATAGTTTTGAGATCACACCGCTTCGATTTACAAACGTGTGCTTGTACGTTAGAACTGTTCACCATAGTACGATACACTTTTCATATCATTCACATAGAATAGTGTATAGTAGCTAGTGAGTGACAATTGTGTAAAACGTCTTAAGAATAGTGAAAACAAGTCTCGTTCATCGAAATTTCATAAATCCTTTGAAAACCAATATTTTTTATAACCAAATTCAAACTTGAAAAGTTAAAACTACCTTTCTAATCAATACTATTGAATAATAAAAAGTATTAATCAGAAAATATTATAAAGCTTTTTGGATATATGTTAATGAGTTTACAGATCCTTGGTGGGACTTTTCGTTGTTCCAATAGTATCACATAATGCAATAATTCAAACTTTATGTCTATTTTTTGTTTTGCAAAAAAAAAAAACTTTTTCTTCATTTAGACAATTTTTAAAAAATGGACGGTTTGGAATTGTTCCTTGTTAGGATTCAATTCTATCGTGTTTGGTACAAAAAATTATAAAGTTATATGTTTATTGATCCAAAAATAATAATTACAACAAATATTACAGTAATGGATAACAACTGATAGTGGTTTTATGTTTTCTTGTTTTGCTCTTTTTCATATTACTGTTTCAATCTTGAAACGTTCACTTGGATTTGGACCATTTGGTTTTAGTATGAACACTATCTTAACCAATTTAATTTGATTACAATTTATTCTCTTAAACTAGGTTAATAAAGTCAAGATTGATGTAAACATCTATATACCAATATAAATTATTATATAATGCATGTCCAAAAGATGTAACCATCCTATATGCTTAAATTATATATGAAAAATATAGGTCTCATGCCGTACGTGATGCATTTCTTACTTAGTTTGTTATGTGAAACGTAATCAATTGGTCAATTCATATCTGTAAGTGTAGAAATGAAAGTTATCTATTTATATATGTACACTAATAACCTATCATATCTACTATAACGAGATGTGATAATATAAGAGAAACTTTGAGATTATTATCAATTTTAGGATACTATACATATCCGCTATAAGAAAGTTAGGTCGACGACACACATACATATACGCGTCTTCTATATAAATCAGCTTAATTAGATAATGACTTCCACAATTAACGATAGATGATTAAGACTACTGTTATATATAGATCAGTTGATCATTTTCCATGGTTAACTAATATTGTATAGTTATATATTATATACTAATTTCGACAATGTTAAGTAACTAATCTTTATATAGTTATATATTATATACTAATTTCGAGAATATTGTATTCTTTTTTCATAAGAAAGAATCATTATACAAAGTGGTTGAAGCCATTGGATTGATCCCATTAAATGTGTGACACTTTGTCAAGGAATCACCCCTAGAGAAGAAAGCTGGTTTATACACGAGAGTTTTTGTTTCCAAGTCCTGTTTCAGGAGTATTATTATTACAACTCGAATATATATATTTCTATACTAGAAGACAACTAACGTAGGGTTAATAATTCGTCACTACATTAATAGATATGAAGTAAAGTAGAATAATAATAATCATAAGTTACCAAACGAACATTAATGACATTATTGTGATGTGCTCTGAAGAGATCATTAATTAATGTATGATCGGCAACAGCATATCATGATATGCATGCAGAGTAATAAACTCATTACTCATGCATGAATAGTTGAGGTTTACGTACAAGATTCTGAGCTGAGATTTTAGAACTGTAAAATCCCTCTAATCAGTATGTACAAGGCCTAGTAATTAGATATTTTTACTATAAAAACTTATTTATATAATGTTCACATATTAAACCCATGATCACATCTCATGCTGACATGATATGTAACAACTAAACACTAGTGTTTGAACTTTGAAGTTGTGAACAATGATATGAGACAACTGAACAACTAAAAACTAGTGTTTAAAACACTAAGTACTATTCATCTTTTTAAAATTAGTCCCACCAGTAATCATGTCTTAACAGTCTTAAAGTACTAATCATCGAAGTGTTTTTAGAATAATGACTATACTTGTAAAAATAAAATAAAATCGTTGGTTAACTTTTTTTTTCTTTGATAAAACTTTGTGGCTAAATACAATATTTGTTTGACGTTTGTTTGTTGACTTATTCGTTTTCGACGTAATTTCTTAGTTCTTATGTTAAATACTTATTATTAATTAGTGTTTCAAAAAGAATACGACTACAGAGTAATATTTAAAATATATGAACGGTAGAGTAAACAAAATGATTAAAATCGCATTAGATGTATTCGGACCTTGTTGGTTCCTCAATTTATATTGTAAAAATTCTCTTAATCACTAAACCATTATGAACTGATTTTTATAATAATTTTGATAATTATTATTCTTAACCGAAAGACTATGTGAGTAAATTTTGCATTTTTAACATAGCTAATATCCCTTTCGGACCATGTAATTTGACCATGTAATATCTCAGCAAAACTAAGATCTAGTTGTTTGTACAAACCTCAAATTACTCATCACTAAGCATATATACTTTTTTTTTTTCAAATTCAAAGCATAGATACTCGTTTTCTTGATACTTATTTAGAACTAGGTAAAGTGCACCAGTGAAGCATAGATATTGCGATATGGTTACATCGACATCAAAAATTCGAAATGGACCTATATAGTCGCATGCTCACTTTTATTTTATATTAAAGTTACAAAAATCATTGGTTTTGTGTATACCATCTCACAACACCTGTAAAGTCATTTCCCTTTTGCCTCAAAATTTTGTTTCTATTTCATTTTAAACTAATTAATAGTTTATTTCAATATAAAAAGTTATTTCTCTTTAGCCAATGTTTAAAAAAAAAAGTTGTATTGTAGCATGGAAATATAAATTATGTGCGGATTATATATATATATATACACACAATTGATTTTTATAGTTTAATAAACTCTGTGAAAACCATGTATCACGTTGGTCAAATATAAGAAAGTACCAATTAATTAGATTTATTAATCTAATTAACAATCGCAAACAATAAAAAGATCGAGAAAGATAGTCATATGAAATTCATGAAAACTAATAAAACTTTTTACCTTTTCCCAACATATGAATATGACATGTATTATATAATATAACAACACAAAAAAAATCAGAAGTCGTCCAAAAAGAACAAAAAGGAGAAGAAAAATAAAATGTTACGTGATTTGTTTTTCTATTAAAGATCTTTCGCTTACACTCACGTGAATAACTTTTCTGAAACAATATTTTCCTTAAAGTTAAAAGATGGTCGTGAATAATAAGATTATTACACGCAACTTTACATAGAAATGCACATGCATGTAACATATACATTATATATATACTATATACTATATAGGGTAGGCATAATAGTTACAATCATGGCTCCAAAAACAATAAGCCAAACGAGAAAGTGTTGAAAGATATTCAGATAAATGTCATGATTGTTTCCCTAAACTGGAAAAACAAAACTTCAATGTCGTTTTCATTTTCAATTCCTTTCACTTCTTGAGTTTCGCTTCTTCATCAATACATACACATACTTATACATGTAAATGATCATATATACATGATCGTATAACCTATATTTTCTATAAATATATGCAAAGACCACTCACACATATTTAACATACCAAGTTACATATATATATCTCTCTCTTTCTTCTTTGTTCTTGTTCGGATCTTGCTTGAGGTGAGAAATGGTTAACGCGACGGTTGCTAGAAACATTGCAGGCATTTGTGGTACGTATACATATAAGCTTTGTATGTGTATGGACATTTTGAAGAATCTCTAACCTTTTGTATGTTTATTGTCGCAGGAAATGTCATCTCCTTGTTCTTGTTCTTATCTCCCATGTAATATCATCAATCTCTATGTCTATCTAACTTCGATCTTACTCTTTTGGTCTAACTATTTAGATCTCTTATGTATTTTATGTAGACCTACGTTCATAACGATATACAAGAAGAAGAAGGTGGAGGAGTACAAAGCTGACCCGTACTTAGCCACGGTGCTAAATTGTGCACTATGGGTCTTTTATGGCTTACCAGTGGTTCATCCAGATAGTCTTCTTGTGATAACCATTAATGCTACTGGTTTGGCCATTGAGCTTTTCTACCTCGCTATGTTCTTTTACTTTTCTCCAACCACTCGCAAGGTACGATAACGATACTATATCCTAACATATGTCTCTTCTTTTACTTTTTAAAAGTATAAAATCCGACCTATATTTTCGAAAAATATGAAACCTGATCAAAAATATATATATATTGAAGTATATATAACTAGGTGACATCATATAATACTTGCTTTATGTTTGAGATTTTTTTTTTTGTTAATACATAGTTTTATGGTAATACATGTTAAGTTCTCAATATTTTTGTCTGATTATTAAATTGTTAATTGAAGAATTTAAAAGAGAGTGATGCATATTGTTATATTCGATTTTTGTGAACCACATATATGTAATAACTAACAAGATTTTAAAAAATTTATATCACTTTTGTTTAATTAGCTGTAAACAAACTGAGATGAACCTAAACCAAACTACATATTCTTTTGTGTAAAAATGAAAGCTAAAGCATATTGAAGTACTAAGAAGTGGTAGACAATGATTGATTCTGTTTTAGGATAGTGATAGCCAAAAACACAAAACGTTTATTATGAAATCGATTTTAATTAAGAATTTTGATTATTGGTGCAGGTTAAAGTTGGGCTATGGTTAATAGGAGAGATGGTGTTTGTAGGAATAGTAGCCACATGCACATTGCTATTGTTCCACACACATAACCAGAGATCTTCTTTTGTTGGAATCCTTTGTGTCATTTTTGTTAGCCTCATGTATATTGCTCCTCTCACCATCATGGTATTATGATTTATCTCTTTCTTTAACATTTTTTGTATTTTACTTCACTTTTTTATGATTACAAAACATGATATTATTGTTGTGAGTGAAACAGAGTAAGGTGATCAAGACAAAAAGTGTGAAGTACATGCCATTTTCTCTATCACTTGCCAACTTTCTAAACGGTGTCGTTTGGGTTATCTATGCACTTATTAAACTCGACCTTTTCATTTTGGTAAGTTTATTAAATTAATCTTGACATCTTTTATTATGTACTAGTACTAGTTTCACTTATATTTTTTTTTGGTTTTTCATAGATTGGGAATGGACTTGGAACAGTATCAGGATTAGTACAACTTATACTCTATGCTTGTTATTACAAGACAACACCAAAAGATGATGAAGAAGATGAAGATGAGGAGAATCTTTCTAAGGCTAATAACTCTCAGTTACAACTTAGTGGCAACCATGGACAAGCCAAACGAGTTTCTGCTTGATTATATGTTTTCGATTAATGAGGATGTGAAATTTAGTTTTATCTCTTTTTTATTAATGTCTATTTTCAAGTTTTTTGGTGGATTAACTATTGTAAGTTCTTTTTTTTTTTTTTGTAAAATTCAGACTCTTTTTCGTCTATGGAAGCTAAGATAACTATTACAAATGTGGGACAGTATAAATCTATATGTATTATATAAAAAAACAATATAAATCTATATAATGTGTAGAATTTTTTTGATAACTTGGAAGAACACTTTTCTCATTAATCGGATGATGAAAAATATACAAATATGATGATCTCAACATTTTAAATCAAAACATAAACAATTACAAAGATCGAACTATAAAACGTATTCATAAATATGAATATGTGAACCTATACACGTAACCTAATTAAAATAAAATAAATTACTAAACTCTAAAAGTAAAATATAGAGACATGTTACTAGGATTTGTTTCAATTTCGATCGAGTGAATCGGTTTCAACCGGCAAGACTATGTGAACTGTTCTCTATTTAATGTAGAGTTGAATCCGGCAAGACTTGGTCCTGAGGTAACACAAAATTGAAAATTCTCTCTATCGGCTCATTTGAAATGGGCCTTGAGATCCATCAGAAAAAAAAAAAAAAAAAAAAAGCAAAAACTAGCACCCACCACTTTGTCCAAGCCACAAATTCCACATGATATGCCATATATACATATGAAAATAAGAAAGCAGTGGAACTTATGATATCATACATTTATATACGAAAATCATATTCTAAAGTTTTCTTAAGAGCCTTAATCAAAATCACAAAATTCATCTAGGTTCAAATCACAAAATAAGGTTTTTAATGTATATAGTTTTAAGGAACCTTAATCAAAATACCTTAATCAAAATCAGAAAATGAGGTTCTTTTTTTTTTTTTTTGAAACAAAAATAAGGTTCTTGATAAGTTTCTTAATATTTATTTTTTTCCCTAACATTTTATTACAAAATATAATAAGTCAACTGTATGGAAAAAATATAAGTCAATTAAAATAAAATAAAATATTTAATCATATTTAGATAATAACTTTTGGAAGCATGCTAATTAAGGTAAAGATTTTAGATTAATTTTAAAAATAAATTATGTTTGAACCCTAAGAAATTCATATATTAGCGTCTAATTTCCAGTCTGATTTTTGTTAGTTTCACATAATCTCTATGTATTGGTTTATTAATTTTTATTGAGTTAAGTTATATAATTTTAAAAAATATTCATCGAATGTACGTAATTTGTCTCTCGAGAATTTATACTTTTACATACTTTGCGGTGAACTTTGAGAAAATAATAATAGTAGTTGGTGATTGCAGAAAAATGATACTCCAAAGTGGTGTGAAAGCAAACCACAATATCTACTAAGTGGTTTCTATTCGGTAAATGTAGAACTGGGTTACCATCCACCAATACTATACCAGAAGATCCAGACTGACAAAGAATATATGAAATTTAAGGTTTGTATGGTGTGGTGATATATTGTATGTTTGTTGTTAAATTAAGGTTTTGTTCTTTCATTTTATATAACTAGATAGGTGATATTTTTGATTACCTACTTTCCCATGTATATTTCTAATAAGCACGTAGTGTTGCTTTCATGAAAAAATCTGATTTGGTGGTTACCTATAGATGTAACTAATTGCAATTGAACACAAGACGTTTACTGATGGTATCATGCTTGATAAAAAAAAATCCAGAATCTGGGTTATGATTCGTCTATTTGATTATTAAGTCAACGATTCAACGATATTTCAAGCAAATTAAAAGAAAATTAGTAATCTCAATAAATAAATTTATTTTAATTATATTTCATTTATTGAAAAATAATTTTCTAAAGTAAAAAAAAAACTCTCAACTATCATGTAAGGTACCAATCATAATCCAAGAAAAGAAACAAAAATTCTTACTCCAAGAATTAATTATAATTTCTTAGTAAATTTTTATGTCCTATTTCTGTAAACAACTATTTCTTAGACACATAACAATAATATATTTATTGTGTTGTTAAAGTCATTAATTACAATTGTGATTTATACTTTTTCCATCTAAAATGGAATTAAGATTATGATTTGTCATTTTAATTTTAATTTTATGGTATTATAATTGGTATACATGTCTCATTGAATTTAATCAATAATTCTTTTGACTAAACATATTATTAGTAAACGGTTATTATTAAAAATTAGAAACTAATATTTATTACATTTAACAAAATTTCCTAAATGTCTCCCTAATAAATCGAATATCTCTCCAATATCTTTATATGATCTTATTTGTTTTAAAATTTACATTATTACATAAAACATAAGTACAATAAAAATACAAAAAAAAAATTTCGCATATGTAGCAATTTGAATTTTTTTAAACATGTATGTACAACGTCCCACATCGAATAGGAAATTTTAGACAATGGTTCGGAACCATTATAAATATGACTAATATGAGACTTAAAAATCCAAAATGTTGAATGAAAGATTACAACAAAAAAGTTTTACTAAATTTTAGGGAATCCAAAATTGTAAAATCTTGATTGGTTAAAAATGAGTTTTTGGAAAACAAAAACCAAAATCTCTCTCGAAATTTACAAAACATTCAAGGTCTATATTTTACATAAATATGATTGAATGGGTTTGCGTTTTATATTTTTCTTACCGGTTATATTACGAGTTAACAAAACAAATAACGCGAGTTAAAAAAATAAAAATAGCAATCAAAAATACAGTTTTTTTTTTTTTTTTGCATGAATGTGAAAATATATTCAAAACAAAAAGTGTCCTTTTTACAATAAATGCATCCTTAAATCAAAAACTTAATTTAAAAAAAAACATCAAAAGTTTTGAAAATTTGGAGGGGATTAGCTACGGGTAGCTAACCAAAGCTGAAGTCCATCACCAAACTTTGTTGTGGTTGCTTGCATTGAAAGGAGTTTGTTACGGATCAAACGGTCTAAGAAACGGGTGAGCTGATCAGTGGTGCTTGGTGTGTCGCCATGTCGACGTCTGTTGCGCTCCATTCAAAGTGTGTGGACCGTTGCTTGGAAGACAAGACGCAAGAGGTAGCATGTAGTACCTTTAAAACAAGAACCCGAGAGCAGATGGATGACTTGTGTATATGAAATAGAATAGTGCCGCATCAACAATTTGTGAGTTAGAGCATGCCATATCCGTGAAGAGTAGGGGAAACCGAAGAATAGATGCGGAAGTGTCTCCAAAGGTTCCCGACATAGCACACAAGCAGGGTTAACACCTCTGTTCTAAACCAGCATGTGATCCCCGGTGATGAGTCTATTGCGAGCTGTTAACCAAAGGATGAAAGAACATTTCGGTATAGAGTTGGAGAACCAAATGCCCTTGTACCAACTCACTTGTAAAACCACACGCCAAATCTGCTGCCAGGTCTCAGCAGTGGAGAACCGAGGCACATACTTGTTATCCGAAGCTCGCCATAAAGCATTGTCTTGACAATAAACTTGGCCACGATCCCGGAGCATTGCGACTTCCAGCTCAATCTGATTCAACAAGGCGTTTCGGTGAGAGCGCCGAGTATGAGTTTGTAAAACCATAGCAACTGTGGCGTTGGAAGGGACACCGAGAGCAATAAATCCTCTATCCCCAAGCAAATCATGAAAAATACAGTTACACAATCTTAAACACTAAAAAATAAATAAAATTAACAAATATAATTTAAAATATAATTTTCTTAGTCAAAAAGATCGTCCTGCGGTGTACAGCGGGTTAAAATCTAGTATACTATATAACTAAAGGATGATCAATGCTTTCGCACAGTTGAAATATTTTTGGAACAAAATATTAAAATATTTACTGTATTGTATAAATATTTGGTGTTTACTTGTACTTTTATACTATAACATAAACATAATAATGTGTATTGTTGTACAGCTGTAAATTAGTTTGGCATTAATATAAGTACGCATATATTGTATGTTTCGAAATACCGTAGTATTTATCGAATAATTACGTCAACCATTGTATTGGAAAATACTTTCTTTTAATAAGGCATTGAGTTTTATTATTTGTTTGGCAAATTGTGTTTGGTAAATAAGAGGTGAATTCATTGTGAATAATATTTTGTTATTTTAAACAACATATCATAAACTATTCTGCCAAAATGATGAAATTTGCACGGAGAATTAAAATGTAAAAATAATTTCAACTGTTGCGGAAGCATGATTTTATTGGTAAAGATAAGAAATTCTCTAGGCTCATATGCATATGTGGTGTATATTTGGATATGCCATGATTTTTTAAATGGCTTGAGATCTTTCAGTGGTGTGAATGAAAGGGGAAGAGCCATTGTCATTTTTGGTCATTTTTGGTGAGGAGAAGTTTTAGAACCTAGGAAATGGTGAATATGATTCAGAACCGAGGAAAGGATAATATTTATAGAGGTCAGTACGTTTGTATGGTAAATATTAAATTAGTTAAGAAAAATATATTGTCAACAATTTTGATTGATTAAGAGAATATAAAATCTAAAAATTTTGGCAGTTTTTCCTTGCATAAATGATACACGAAAATGATTAGTAGAATATTCCTTATACATATTTCATATATACATAAAAAATATAAATTCACTATATTTGTGACTGGTTTAGCATAGATTAGCGGTTGAGAGTTCACTCTCTATTATTGTTATAGAAAATTAATAGATACCAATTCACTAATTTGTAGAAAACGTTATAAAGTTTAGGAAATATTTTAGGTAAGATTCAAAATGATTACCAAACCGATAATATACAATCTTTAATACAGTTAATAAAACCTATTAATTGGACAAATTAAATGGATATACATTTAGCTAAGATTTTTGAAATGGACAAATTAGATTAAATCTATGGATTAACGATTGGGATTAAATGATTAAACTCTATTAATTGATCCATTAATTTTTGAAGATCGGCGTGTAAACCCAATTTAATTAGGATGTGTTTTATTTCATATGAAAACTTTGATTATTTTCTAATGGGTATTTCAACTTTGATAGTATAGATGTAAAACAAGTTTCCATATTTTATATACATTAGTGATAAAAGTA